GCTCGTGATCCTCAGGAGCGATTCAAGTTATTTTTAATTATTAATGTAATAATTTAGTTAATTGCTTGCTTTAAAATGCCAAAACCAATCCACTTTAGTGTGTTTAATGAATTATGCATTATGAATGCATGTTTTAATTAAATAGAAAATGTATATGCATAAAGTATGTCATATAGATTTAAAATCCCACCATAGGCTAAGCATGTTTCATGCATTCCAAGTATGTTATAATATATAGTATGCATGTTTAGAGTTCCATGAGTGATAGATATAAATTGTTATATTATTGCATGGAATGGATGATTATGTAATTGTAATATAAAGCATGCTAGATGCATGTTATAGGTTATTTTCAACGTCATATATCAAGATAGACATTAAAATCTATAATAAAGATAAGTGCATGCTCACTTAGGGTTAAGAACCGAGCACGATCAATTTTAATAGTTAAAATAGGTCGTGTCTTATAAAATTGCAATTTTAAGAAAGCTCACATGGCACGATCTTGTCTAAGGCTGGAGGTACTTAAGTTGACGGTTTACGGAACACGTACTACCTGGAGATCAGATCAGTACTTGAGCTTAGTTAGCCCAGTTTTATGAGAATGCTTGTGTGATGTAAGTTTTAGAAAACTCACCTAGACTTAAGTTATATTCAGTTAGCCGGAATATACATAAGTAATGAGTATACCCAACCGTCTAAAATACATAGTGGGAGGAAAAAGGTATATGAGATACATCGTTTTCCTTTCACGCTCTCTGGAAAATTCACACCGTGAGATTCATGCTCGGTCTCGTGTCGCCCTGGGAGCGTCCTCCATTCGGAAGGTATTTGCATGAGTCAATAACAAGGTGAATAGAGAAAGTATTTATAGTAAGTGGGAGAAGGAAGTATATCAACACGTCCTATGGTCTCCACCACTAGGTAGCACCGTGAGATTCCCATGTTCCACCTGCATGTTGCCCTAGAGCAACTACCTATTCGGAGGGTTGTAACATGGGAGTCGAAACAACGCAAACTCCATAAATGGATAGGATTTCGTAGGTCCATTCCCAACTTTGGCTTTTTCATTCGATAGCATTGTTGGGACTGATCTCTGAGATCTGAAACTGGCGGGTCACACTTACGAAGAATTACTAAGAGTTAGTATATTCTTGACCAAAATAGCGATAACTAAAAACACTATAGGAACAAGAGTTATTCTAGAATTATCGTTTAAGTCAAGAATGTCTTGGTTTAGTGAATGAGTGATTGGCTGCCCCTCAGTAGTAGTTGCTCTAACTCACTAAAGTATCGTTGCAAATTAATAATTTTGGGTACATTATTACATTTGCTAAAAATGATTGGATTAAACAGGATTAAGTCAAATCACTAATAGAATTTTCTTTATATCATAGCATTACAAACTCAACAGTACAATTACTCGCTTTTGAGAAATTAAACGGCGACAATTACGCAACTTGAAAATCAAACCTAAACACAATACTTGTAATTGATGATTTAAGGTTTTTTTTAACTAAGGAATGTCCTCCAAACCCCAGCTCAAATGCAAACCGAATAGTTCAGGATACATATGACAGATGTTTTGGCTAAGAAACGCAATGTTATGGGTACTGCTAAAAAGATTATGGAATCTCTGAAGGGGATGTTTTGGACAACCGGCTTTCTCCCTTAGACATGATGCAATAAAATACGTTTACAACTACCGTATGAAAGAAGGGATCTCAGTTAGAGAACATGTCTTGGACATGATGGTCCATTTCAATGTGGCGGAAGAAAATGAAGCTGTCATAGATGAGAAGAGTCAAGTTAGTTTTACCATGGAGTCTCTTTCAAAGAGCTTCTTCAAGTTTCGCACAAATGTGATAATGAACAAAATAGAATATAACTTGACTACTCTTCTCAATGTGCTACAGACTTATCAATCCCTCTTAACGAACAAGAGACAAACAGGAGAAGCAAATGTTGCTATCTCCAAAAAATTACTACGAGGATCGTCCTCCAAAAATAAGTCTGGTCCTTCAATAGTGTTTTGATGAAGACAAAGGGTAAAGAGAAAAATAAGATTCCTACTAACCGAAAACACAATGTTCAAAAAGCAGATAAAGGAAAATGTTTCCATTGCAACCAAAACGGACACTGGAAGAGAAACTACCCAAAATACTTTGCAGAGAAGAAAGCCGAAAAGACACAACAAAGTAAATATGATTTACTCGTTGTAGAAATATGTTTAGTAGAGTATAATAACTCAACTTGGATACTAGATTCAGGGGCCACTATAAACAGACAATGAATGATGAAGATAGAGATCATGCATCCAATAACTTAAAATTCTAGGCATACATAAAGTTAAGAGTTTAAAGGCATACTTACTTGGTCTCGGTAGGGAGTCCTCCTAAGCTAGGACATAGAGAAACCTTAGGCTCTGATACCACTCTGTAAGGATCGGGCTGTCGCGATGGTTCTAAAAGACGAGTAAATTTTTTGTGAAATAAACAAAAGAATTTAAAAAATTATATTTACATAATATCAAAATAAAGTTTATACATAAGTATTTAAAACATAAAATAAGGAACAAGCACAAAATATTTTAAAACAAATGGGTTGAGGACAACGAGTGAGGTTTGTCTATGGCACCTACTTCAGAGTCTGCTCCTGACCTTGACAAACTCTTTATTACCTAAAAAAATGGAGAATAAAGAACGAGACAAAGACTCTGTAAGTAGCCTACTTGTAGGTTCTTAATTGTGTCCTTAATATTCTAGGGTACCACATTATTTGTTGTTGTCTTGTTCTTGTTCTTGTTATTGTTGTAAGTACTTAAGTTCTCCAATTCTTGTTCTTGACTTGGGGTTCTTATCTTGATTATCCTGCGGACCTTAGTCCCTAGATTATGAAACGTTGGTTATCCTTTAAGGGCCATAGTACATGGTTCTTGGTTCTTGGTTCTTGTTCTTAGAACTTGGATCTTAATCCTTGTTCTAGACCTTGATCTTTCTCTTGTTCCTGGTACTTTCTTTGTTGTTGTTTTGTTATTGATTCGTTCTCCAAGACACTCCCCCTAGGATTTACGGCATTAGCTATGCACCTAACAATCCTGTGTCCAAGGCTTCATGCGTTCCAAGCGATACAGTTGATGGTGTTCATATAACACATGCAGAAGCAATTTGGATCTAAGTAAATTAGCTAGCATGTTCAAAAGCATTAAAACTAAATGAGTTTGAATACTAACCTTTTGTCGCTCAAGTTTTTTTTTTCCTTACGAACCGGTTTCGAACCACCACTAGTGTCTTCTCCACTATTCCCCGACCTTAGAACGGAATTGTGGAATCTAGTGAGTGACTAAACTTGGGAGGGATTTAGTATATATGAAGAGAGAGTTTGTGATTTTTTTTTTTTGGGAAGGTTTTGCCCTTGGAAGACCTTCCATGTACCATGATCACTCTATTTATAGAGTCATATTTGCATGTTCATGCAAATTTGAGATCACCAAATTTTGATACTCAAAATTCCACTCAAATGTTTGGGATTATGTGGCAAGCATGCAAGATTGAGTTCACCAAATTTTTGACACTCAACATTCCACTAAAAATTGTGGGGTTTATTTGGCAAGCATGCAAGTTTGGTTAAACCAAATTTTGACACCTCAAAATTCCACCAACTCAAACATGGATTTTTCCATTAAATGAAGTCAAATTTTGATTCAACTATTAATTTCANTTTTCAAATTAAAGTAATATTAAATGATTAATTAAACTATTTAATTAATATTTAATATTAATTCAAATGCAAATCCCAATCAATTCCGACACATATTTGATTAAGATATTTAAATCTTATTTAAATAGATTTAAATATCTCAGATTCTTTCTTTTTGTTTAAGTCGTAAATAAAACAAAAAATGTGGTTAAATATATGGAATATATAATTCGTTAACTACTAGGACACTCCACTATAGCCTAGTAGTTGCACTCCCCTCACTGTATGAACTACTAGGACATTCACAGGTTGTTCGTAACTAGAGCTGGGTCAATTACCATTTTACCCTTGAAGTTACTTCTTGTTTCTTATGTCTCACTGATCCCCTAATGAACAATTTGTTTGTGGTTTAACAAGTAAACCGAATCCCTCTCAGGCCAATGAGAGGGTGGGGCCCCTTGTTCAAGACCTAGAGTCAATGCTTAAGGGAACTACCTCTCTTCTATCCTTAAAAGTGGGTAGGAGTGAATTCCATCTTGCACCCCACGTCTCCAGCCATTTATCCAATCTTACCCCTGAAATGGAAGGCCTATTGAGTCGGCAAACTTGAGCCACTCTCACCTATGCAAATCTAAGTATAATTCTGAATAAACAGGAGTTCATGGTTAGCTCAGGATTAAAATCGAGTTACCTAGGTCATCGAATGAAAAGAAAATCAGTAAGCGACATTATAAAGTGAGAGTGATTTTCTTCATGCTCC